CCGCCTAAAAAAACAGCAACTGCATTTAAGTTTGAAAAAAACTGTTTTGTGCCAGTACCATTACAGTGTTTAACTTTGGTAAACAAATAAATTAAAACCCATATCCAGACACATGATGATAATTTAAAACCTCTCATGATCACAGGATCAGGAGCACTTTAAAGAGAGCTGTCCAGCAGAGCAGCCCTCATGGCCTTCTGGGAGTTTATCTGTATCACCACCCTGTGAGCTCGGGTTCACCACACCCTTCCCACATAACACCACATCAAAGAAAATACTTGTGAGCAAGGCGGGTGCAGTAATAAATCACCATGAAGAACACAGACCTGAACAGGACCATGACCACAGGACAGCAACTACAGGTGATGTTGACTGAAATGCTATTATGTTTTTGTGTGTGAATGGAAACAATTTACTGATTTATAATTGAGATAAGCACTTTGGTGTTTCTTGTTGTTAAAATTGAGTATGTATTGGTGTGTTGCTATGGGTCCTGTTTGTGCATGTGCATGTGTGTGTCTTTCGGACCTGTGTGTAAATACTAACATAATAATTACAGAGTGAAAACATTGAATTTCCCCCTTTATTAACGGGATTAATAAAGTATATCTTCTTCTTCTTCTTCTATGATTTGGAATATGCTCTTTGAGCTTTAAAATAAAATCTTTCTGTGGTTTCAAAGTAATCTACAGAACATCAGGAAAGATACCTGCATTCACAGGTACAGTCAAACGTGTTGGAACAGCAAGGCAAATTCCTTTGTTTTTGTTGTTCACTGAGGACATTTGGGTTTAAGATCAAAAGATGAGTATGAGACAAGAGTTCAGAATTTCAGCTCTCATTTCCTGGTATTCACATCTAGATGTGTTAAACAACTCAGGACCCTTTGTTTGAACCCACCCTTTTTTCATGTGAGCAAAACTATTGGAACGTGACTGACAGATGTTTCTTGTTATTTACTTGAAGATAATTGTTCCATTACTGTTGCTCACCAAAGAATGCTGTGGTCTAATACAAACGGTGATATGTCCTAAGTTGTTTAACACATCTAGATGTGAATACCAGGAAATAAAAGCTGACATTCTGAACTCTTGTCTCATCTTTTGATCTTAAACCCAAATAAACAAAAACAAAGGAATTTGCCTTACTGTTCCAAAACTTTTGGAGGGGACTGTAACAAAGCATGTCAGCAGCGTTGTGCAACTTTTCTATCTTTAAACATTTAAGAATATACAGTACAGTATATGTGTGTGTGTGTGTGTGTTTGATTCCAAAGCAGATCCGCACCGCACTCAACAACATCGTTTTGCTGTTTTCAGTGAAAAATCAACTTTGTTTGCTGTGTTAACTTTATGAGGTGATAATATGTCAGTGTTGTGTATACATCTAGTTTCTGCTGCCCCGAAGTGACTAATCAGACCTGCTACTATTGTTGCTTATAAATGCTCCTTAGAAAACCTTACTGTATGTACACTGCCTTTTTTTTCTTTTAGACGAAACTTTAAGACAGCCGGATCCTGAACATAGCGGCTCCCACAAACAGCCTCAGGAAAAGCTGTCTGCGGGTCCTAAAAAAAAACAGGAGCCTAGCAGACTCAAAAAGAGCTACGACTGTCTGACTTGTGGAAGAGTGTTCTCTCACAACACTGCTCTGCAGCGACACCTTGTGATTCACTCAGGGAAAAGACCTTTCAAGTGCTTCATATGTGGAAGAGGATTCACCCAGAGTGGAAACCTCAAAACACACATGAAAGTACACAGAGGTCAGAGGCAACACAAGCTCCTTTGTCTTCAATTAGATTTTTTTAATGAGATGATTGTGGCAAGCTCTTGTGTGTTTTTCACACAGTTATTACTTTTAATAACTTGTAGGGACAAATGTTCACAAAATACACACAGTACCATCGACTCCTTTCTCATAACAGCTAACCATGTCTCTTTTGTGGAACAGTTTATACTCTGACAGTGGTGGTTCAATAAAAGTGCAACACATTGAACTATAAATGTCTTTGTTTTTCTCACAGGAGAGTTACCAACTTGGACATTAGTGCAAGAGAAGAGTGTCCCTAAAGAATCTGCTGTAACAGTTCATGTGTGTGGAGAGTGTGGCATGGACTTCCCTCAGAAACAGCAGCTGGAGGAACACCGCCAGAGTCACAGAAAGCCTTACGCATGTCCTGACTGTGGCAAGACATTCAAAAATGAATATTATTTTAAAATACATAAGCGTGTTCACTCAGGAGATTCACCTTTTATCTGTTCAGAGTGCGGAAAGAGTTGTGTCACAGCAGATTCACTTAAAAAACACGAGTTGACGCACACTGGAGAAAAGAATTTCCACTGTGATCAGTGTGGGAAGGCATTTTCGCAATCCTCCCACCTCAGTGTGCACCTCAAGACTCACACCGGAGAGCGGCCTCACCTCTGCTCAATCTGTGGCAAAAGGTATTCTAAAGCAAGTGATCTGAAAGTTCATCTTCGAGTTCACACTGGAGAGAAACCGTATACTTGCGAGAAGTGTGGCAAGTGCTTCTATTACTCTCAAGGCTATCGAACGCATCTGAAGATTCACGAAAAGAAGCCAAAGGCTCCCACAAAACCATTGGGGAGACCAAAACAACAGCCATTAGTGGTTGAAAAAAAAAAAGGGGAAAAAGTATTACATTTTGCCAATCTATCACTTGTGTAATAAAATATCTTTCAAATGGCTGAAGTGATTTGCCAAGCAATATGATATACTGGTAAACTCCATTACCTATATTGGACTAAAGTATTTAAGAGAATAAATCATGATATTCTGAATTGTTCGTTGTTTTGTGTTTAGTTTTTTTGTGATTCACCTAAACTTGACCCTTTGACCAGAGTTTTATCCAATAATTTCACTCCACAGATCACAATATAAATCGGTGCGTTACAAATGAAAAGGTTTTTACTGCATTCTTTGAAAAAAAATAACTAAATAAAAGCCTGTACTTAAAAATATATTGTATAAGTGGCATCTAATTACTTTATGTATGCTTGTTATTTTAGTCAGAACCTTTTATTTATACATAGTACATACATATAAGATGCGTTTTGCATTAGATTATCACGCAGCAGGATAATAGTGTTTACGTTAATTTTACCATTGTTGGAAATTCATTTTGTATCCACATATGTTTCTCAAACTTTTTCTGTCACACCCCTAGGCTAAACTAAAACAATGTATAAAAACATGAATTTCACGTGACTTTTTTGCCCCAGTGGTGGGCAAACTACAATAACAACAAAGGGAGCATTATATTGAAATAACATCAAGAGTATGAACTTCATGTTTTCATTTTAATAATGTTAAGAGCCTTGTTAACATCGGAGCTCTCTTCTTTCATTATAGAAGAAATTTAGCATTTCAATCGTAGCAGGAAAAGCACAGCTGGATGCAATACCCTTAATTGTGGCTTCCAGCAATTACTGTAACACAATGCAGCACACTAGAATGGCATTAGTTACACCAACTGAAAGTGTCTGCTGTGAAAATGTTTTTTCCCACGCCACATATTTTTTCCTGAGCATGTGCCTCCTGCACCTCAGTTTGCTAATGATTTATTATTTAGACATCAATCATTTCACTGCTTAGCATCTTATGTGGTTCTCAGCAGAGTAAACCCAGAAGATTTTTATTCCTTAGCAATGTCCTCCAGTTCTGGGATACTGAGGCATCGCCTTAACTTACCAACATGCCTAGAAAAACTTAAGAGGGAGGCATCAAGGATAAAAGTAAATAAATAAAAAGTTTGCTTCTTTTACTGTTTTTGACCCAAAGAGTTAGTTTATTTTTCTTGGCTTTTATTCTTTACTCCAACTGCAGAGGAATATGTTCAAGAAGGCCTACTACACAAAATAATGTTAATGTAAACACGCTAAGTATTGTTTTATTGTTGACAAGCATTGAGCAGCTGGATTATCCCGTATTTTTGTATATTTTAACAATGAGCGATTGCTGAGTAGTTGTAATTTGTGTGAGCATTATTTTACGTGATATGTATGTGTGTTTCCATAAATCTGTAGAAAACTATACTAAGATGAGAAGTTATATTAGTGGGGCTTTTATTGTGATTTTTAAAAAGCCAACCGGAAGTTCCGAGACTACTGTAAGTGACTAGCAGCTAAAGCTAGAAAGGTTACCATCTGATCCAAACGCTTATTTAACTTAACTCGATAGTTAGATGGCATTAATTTGACACCTTGTTTGAACATATTCAGCATGAAAACGAGAGAGAAGTAGAAATATTGCCAAGTCGTTTAAATAAACTTCTGTCGAGCGACTACTTTTTACCTGAGGGAAAAATCTATGCTGAGGTTGGTCAAAATGTCTATTGTCTGTTAAAGGTTAGCTAGCTAAGATAGCGAGGGTTACACGAGCTGAGGTGACACTTGCAGCAGAAATATCGTATTATTATCAGGTTGGACTCGATGGGGAATCTGTCAGAACTGTTATTTGTTTTTGTTGATCAGCGGCTGTAGCTTAGGGGGGCTAATCGTTAAGGAATTGCTAACATCAGGAACGCTAGTGTGGCTAGCTGGCTAATAACAGTTTTCTCAAAGGCAGAGGTGGTCGTTGACCAAAGCGCTGGTCACGACTGAGACATCTCATTGAGAGGTCAAACAACGTTACTGGTGTTTGTACTGCGGAGTGCGTTTGCTCTCCGCAGTAACTGATGTTATGACACCATATATACCAACAGGTTAGTCATTTAGGTTGCTATCTAACTTGAATTACAGTTAATGTGAGACCTCAATGGATGGAGAAAAAACGAGTCCCACCAAGCTAATGCTACAGGGCTAACTGGGCTGCTCAGTGCAGATGCACCATTTAAGATTTCCCCCGAGGGCTACCCACTTTAAAGCACAGTAGATCATTGTGACAGTACACACTAGAACAGTTCCGTAACCACTAATGTTGCACTGGAACAGGCCATTTGTCAAACAACAACATTTTTAGGGCATCTTAAGGTAGACTGTCCATCAGGCCCAGCCAGGTTCAAGACCCCATCACAACAAAGCATTCGCCTTGCTGAAGTGTCCTTGAGCAGGACAATGGATGTCTCCCAGGGTGAAGGCACTGTTTTGAAGCTGACCCCCCAAAAGAGATCTGGTGCTGGAGGACGTAAATCTGAACCAGAATGGAATAAGAAAGGACAGTTACTTAATGAATCCATGGGGGATTTTTTTTAATCACAGCACTATGAGATAAAGAACACCTTGGTTAAAATATATTATGTTGCTCTTTGTGAATTATAAAAAATGTCTGAAACAATAGTGTACTTCAACAAGCAGATCACAAGTGATTGAAACAATTCCTCTAAACTTGTAAACCTAATTACAAAAACCCTGAACATGATATTTTGCATACATTAACAAATAAAGGAAAGTAAAATTTTATCATTCTGGCTGTCAGATTTGTCAATCAAGACAGGCTTGATTATGCTCGTAACATTTAAAATCATTTTTAATAAAAATACTTATTTGTGTGTATAACACAACATTCTGTATGATACAGTACTTTCACTCTGTGTTTAATAAGTTTGGTCACTTTGTGCAGAAGTGTGATTGGGACTATTATTGGGGTCTTGCAAGAATTAAACCTTGTTTAGTGATTTGCCATTTTGTAATTAGCCTCTCTTAATTCCTTAAGGAGCCACAAAACAAAAATTGAGTGACAGAAATGAGTGGGAAGATGCTCACTGATATAGTTGGTTTGATTAAAATCTGTCTATTATATATTAGACCACAGCCCATTTAGCACAAAATTGTAGTGTTAAAAAATGTAGCCTGAGACACTTGATGAATGTGGGCTCAGAACAGTTAAATGGATTTGGAAGTCCCTTGTAGAGTAAGACTATCACATAGTTTCTTACTGTATCTCATGAATGCAAGACTGGATGATCTCTTTAAAGTGATTATCATTATTTTAAGCACAGCCAATATTAGATTAGTGAGCTAATTTAATGTACTAATGTTTATAATTTGTGAGTGTTTAATGTACTGTATATATATTCACTTATAAATTGTTATTTCACTGTTTATTTACTGACTCTTGATTATTCATCTCTACAAGGTTGTATATTTGAGAGATGGGCTCTGAAAACCCAGAGGACTTTGGACCCGCTGTGATCCTCGCCGAGGAAGACCAGCAGGAAATTGGAGGCCTGATCAACTCGGATGGGGAAGAAGTGGATTTCTCAGATCTCAGTGAGCAAATAAATTGTAACAGCAAAGTATAAAGTGATGTGACGGGAAACGTAGAGCCCCCTTTACATTGTAATGCAGTCGTATTACGCCATTATAATTATTATTATACGTTATTATTATCATTTACAATGACCCTTAAATGAAGGAATGAAAACAGAAAAAAAAAATTTAAATATTTTGTCCTGATAAAACTTGAAACCTTTTTATTTATGGAAGTTTGTGTAAAAAGTCTCCCTTTGAAAATAAATAAAAGGGTGAGATTCTCTGTCCAGTTTCACTTGTTTTTTTCAATACTTTAGATAGATAATGTACATGGTATGATGACTGTCAATTTTCATACCATGGTATACCGCTGCAAACCTCCTTGCCATAGAATTGATTCAGTGCGATGTAAGTAGTAGTTTGAAAATATGAACATATTAACTGAGGTAATGTTTATTGTGGATATATAAAATGTTGTTTTCAACACCTGGATTCAATTCAGTTATGATTGGTACTTGTGCAATAACAGAGAACCTATTCTATAAGTCTGACAGATCTGTCTTAGATTACGATGTGAATACATTAAGGTACCTGAATGCACCATGTCTGACATCTCCCACACAGAGTTGAGTGACATTGATCCTACTTTTTCTCTCCCAGATTCTGATGCCGTAATTAGGGTACTGACAGATATGAAGTCTCAATACAAGTGCTCTTTCTTTTAATTCTTTCAAATTTAATACTTTGTACTTGTGAGATAACTTGACTGTGCAATAATGCAGTGATTTTTCTAAAAGAACAACTTTAGACTGAGTGTTGTATAGTAGTAAATTATTATCATCACACACAGTATATAGGACTCTACGACTTGTCTGACCATCAACATCACTGTTGGTATGATAAACTGAAAAAGTGTTTTTTCATCATTTTTCTTTCCCTAAATACAACGATTTCTCATCTTTTTGTTCATGCAGGAGAGAATGCAATCCCTGTCAATGTACCTGCAGAGCCTCCCTCCAAGACATTTGATCAAAGCGAGAACGAGAAACCACCGTCTCTTCACAGCTGCTCAGTGTGTGGGAAAGACTTCCCTTACGCCTCTAAGCTTCAGCGCCACCTTCGCACTCACTCAGGAGAGCGGCCTTTCCCTTGCTCCATGTGTGAGAAGAGATTTCCAGAAAAGGGGCTGCTCATGATCCATGAAAGGGTCCATACTGGTGAAAAGCCATTCCCATGCACTTTCTGTGAAAAAAGATTTGCCAGTCAGGGTGAGCTCAGACTGCACCGGCGGACTCACACTGGTGAGAGGCCGTATCACTGCTCCATCTGTCTGAAGAGCTTTTCCCGACACTGGCATTTGAAAACTCACTTAGAGGCGATGCATTCTGAGGTTGTTGCTGGCTTTACGAGGAAGAAGTTTCCTTGTTCGGACTGTGAAAAGAGCTGTAACTCAGCAGCTGAGCTTAGAGATCATCAGAGGACTCACACAGGAGAAAGGCCCTACCAGTGCTCTTTCTGTGACAAAAGGTTTGCCTTGTCGGGTACACTTGTGAGACACGAGCGTCTCCATACTGGCATTACACCCTACCACTGCTCTGACTGTGGGAAGACATTTGCACAGCAGTGGACTCTGACGACGCACATGCGGACTCACACGGGAGAAAAACCGTACAGCTGCACACAGTGCGATAAGTCTTTTGTAGCTCCGGGAGAACTTCGGAGGCACACCAGGATTCACACAGGAGAAAAGCCGTACACCTGCACGGACTGTGGAAGGCACTTCTCACTGGCAGGAACTCTTAGAAACCACAAAAGATCGTGCACACAGAACAAGAATGGATCAGTTACAG